AGCATGGGTATTTCTTGGCAACAGAACAGAAAAGCCAAGATGAATCAGTGTCTGTGTGTGTCTGTGTGTGTGTGTGGAGGGGTGGTAGTTATAAGAAATCAACGAGGGACAGGGTTAGATTTGGTTGAAAGCATCGAGTAGGAGGACTGTCCTGGCTGGTATTGGAGGCAGGGAATGGGGAAAGAGTGGAGGTAAGATGAATTTCTCTCAGTCATCCATGATATAACTACATATGAGACCATTTCCCTAACTAACATCTTTTCAAATCTTCGTGGAATGGGTTCCCCCTGCGAAAATTAAAGCAAAATTAATTACCTCCATTCTCACATGATTCAAAGCATACATATCTGTATGTACATCTGTATCTGTAGGGAATACAGCAATTGGCAGATATTCTTTTATTGATGCTTGAAGGATCATCTCCACTAACTGGTTTCTAACAGACAGACAGAACCACATACCTGGTAAGAAGAAAGAAATAAAAGTTCCCCTAAGATTTGCAACTTAACAATGCTGACAAGTCTTCACGCCCTTCACAAGGAAGTATACTTCAGGAAAACAAAGGAGATGTTTCTTAACCAACCTATAAAGGGATTAGAAATAGCAGGGTGGTTCCTGAAAAAGTGATTTCTTCTTGAGTTTTACCGTGTGTCTAGATTGCTGGAACAAATTGGCACATATTCAGAAATAAAAACATAAGTTGGCAAGAATTTACATGTAAAAACTTCTGAAAATTGCTGAGTCTTCAGTGACACCATATGACATCAGGATGTCACAATCCTCTCTATTAAATGCCAGGGGCACTTCTCAGAAACAGAAAAAAATGTATGAAATGGTTTCTCATTTGGACTAACCCAAGCTCTCTTTAAATTTAAGCAAACTCGTGATCCTTATTAATTAGTGCCTCTTCCTCAAACTCAACCTCTGCGTGACAAATCTTGACAGCTTAGTCTTGAGAAATCAGCCTTGGTCAAAAGCTTCCTTCCATAGGTCTGTCCCCTTGAAGGCCACATATCCCACTTTGTCACTGTAGTTCTTCCATGCCAGGCTGAGCTTCTTGCTTCTGTCTGTGGGGACTGGGTCCTTTTCTCTTTGAGCACAAAGAAACTCATCTGGCTGCTATTCCAGGAACTTCAGCCCTATCTAGTGACAGTGGCTTATAGTGCAATCTTGACTGAGACACTCCTATTCCTCATGTCTGTAATTTTTCATCCTGCGTCTTTTCCCTTGGCATTTTCTCCTATCTCTTGACGTACCCCTTAGTTGATCAAAACTCCATTAGTCCACAACCCCCTCACCCTATCCAGTCTCAACTCAAGGATCTTTTGCATGACAACCCCATTCAGGGATCACTATGCATATATTGTTGGAGGACACTAAGAGCAGCATGGCCTGGGGAGGGGGATCTGGCAGGGAAAATCTTTCAGTTTGAGAAACCCAGATCATCTTCTCCCTTCTGCCTCCGACCTCCATCCTCTCTGCATCTGGGACCTTGTAGTAGGTGAATCTTCCTGTGAATTCTTGGTGTGCTGGGACTAGAGACCCTGCTCATGGTAGATATTAAAAAGGACCCACAACGATAACTAGTGGTGGAGAAGCGTAGAGAAACCAGAACTCTTATACATATATTCCCACCATATTCTGGTGGGAGTGTAAAATGGTCTGGAACTATGTCCATACAGACGGAATCTAAAAAACATAATAATAAGAAATTTAAAAAATAAAATAAAACTTTAAAAATCAATCTTTGGGACTGGCCCCATGGCCGAGTGGTTAAGTTCGCGCACTCTGCTGCAGGCGGCCCAGTGTTTCATTGGTTTGAATCCTGGGCGTGGACATGGCACTGCTCATCCAGCCACGCTGAGACAGCGTCCCACACACCACAACTAGAAGGACCCACAACTAAGAATATACAACTATGTACCAGGGGGCTTTGGGGAGAAAAGGGAAAAAAATAGAATCTTAAAAAAAAAATCAATCTTGAAGATACAAAGAACTGATTAAGGCTTGCCAGAGGTAGGAGGTGGGGGGGGGCAGTGAAATGGGTAAGCGTGGTCAAAAGGTACAAACTTCCAGTTATACGATAAATAGGATCTAGATGGAATGTGCAGCACAGTGACTATGGTTAATCTATATTCTATTATATATTTGAAAGCTGCTAAGAAAGTAGATTTTAAAGTTCACATCAAAAAGAAAAAAATTTGAACCATGTGTGGTGATGGATGCTAACTAAACTTATTGTGGTAATCATTTCACAAAATATATGTTAAATCATTATGTTGTATACCTTAAACTAATTCAATGTTGTGTCAATTATATCTCAATTTAAAAAATAAAAATAAGCAAAAGGAATTGGTATACAAGAGTTCATATCAGCATTATTCACATATCCACAAATTGGACTCAACTAAAATGTCCACTGATTCATGAAAGGATAAAAAACTGTGTTATATCATACAAAAGAATATTATTTAGCCATGAAAAGAAATAAAGCACCGATACATGCTACAACATGGATGAACCTTGAAAATATTATGCTGAGTGAAAGGAGCCTGATACAAAAGGCAACATACTGTGCAAATCCATTAATGTGAAACGTCCAGAAAGACAAGAAGTAGATTAGAGGTTTCCGGGGACTGCGGTGAGGGGAGAACTGTGGAGGGGTTTCTTTGGGGGGTGATGAAATTATTCTGGAATTAGGCCATGATAGAAGCACAACCTTGATGAAAAACTAGTGACTGGTATATTTTAAAAATGGGAACCTTATGGTATATAAATTAAATCTCAGTTAGAAAGTCGGTCCCCAGTAGAAACACCCCTACCCCAGAGGTAGGGGAGCTATGGGGCTGGATGCCCTGGAACAACAGTCTTCTCCCCGGCCACAGCCAGGCCTCCAGGGACAGTGCACTCTGTGGCAAAATACTTCCTCTGTCCACCTCCTTTCCTTCTCAGAGTTACTCATTTACTAAATCCCAGCTTGATAGAGCTGTTAGTGGGAATGTACAGTTGGGCATGATTTTACGCTCTCTCTGAGGCCCTGACTCAGAGGAAATCACCCCAAATCCACTCCCACTCACAGTTCTTGGTGTCTCAGGATGGGGCCCAAGATGGTGCCTGAAAGGACAGCCTTCCCTCCTGGTGACTGTGGGACCTGCAGAGGAGAGTTTGGGGGCTGAGCACTTGACACATCCCCACCCCTTTGGATTCTGTCAAGGAATCATCTCTGCTGAGAGTGCAGAAGAAAATGGTTCTCTACATTTCAACATAAGGAGACCGTCTTTGTAAACCCAGCGTCTGTCTGACACAGTTGGGATGGTGGATCCACATTGCAGGGTCCTGAGCCAGAGTGTATCCCTGAATATCACACAATGCAATTCACGACAGTAGAAACCTGGGCTTCTGTTGAACCTCTGTGTGGCTTACTTATGTCATCTGTGAAATGGGGACAACAAAGGGACCTGCCTCAATGAGTTGTTAAGATGTAAATGAGCAAATAGATATCCCTGCTCAATAAAAGCCAGTAGTTTTTAATATTATTCTCTTTATTGGAACAGCATGAAAATGAAGAGAATAAGGCTCCCGTGACAATGAACATAACCATATATTTATCCAAAAAACATGAAAACACTAATTCAAAAAGAAAATTCATCCCTATGTTCATTGCAGTATTATTCACAATATCCAAGACTTGGAAGCAACCTTAATGCCCATCAACGGATGAGTGGATAAAGAAGTTGTGGTATATATAACAATGGAATGCTACTTCTCCATTAAAAAAAAAGACAAAATCATGTCATGCAACAACATGGATTGACCTTAAGGGCATAATGCTAAGCAAAATAAATCAGATGGACAAAGACAATTCCCATCTGCCTTCACTCATATGTGGAAGATAAACACACAAACACACAGACACAGAGAACTGATTGGTGGCTACCAGAAGGGAATAGAGTGGGGGAAGGCAAAAGGAGGGAAGGGGCACATATGTCTGATGATGGATGACAGCTAGACTTTTGGTGGTGAATACGCTGCAGTCTATACAGAAGTCTGAACACCTGATCACCTGTGCACCCAAAATTACTAAATGTTAAAACCAACGTGACCTCAATGAAAATTTTAAAAGGAAGAAATTAACCATAGCATTCAAAGAACACCTTGTTCGCATTTTTTCTTGTGAGCATTTGACCCAGACGTTCATTCACTGAATCTGGAAGTGATGTTCTAAAAGACAGGGTGACAAAGAAATGTCATGATTCTGGAGATGAAATGATTCATTTCTGTTTCATATTAAAACAAAGTTTAGACTGCTGCCATGCAAATAATCCCTGTTTGTATCAATTGTTCTTTTCACTGTGGGCGTGTTAACACTGCAAGGTGAATGACCTTCACACTGACCTTAGAAAAGCAGGAAAAATCGGGGACTGGTTGCAAGGAGCCTGGGGAGGTAACAAGGAGGTCTTCTGTCTAGGTACAGCCTTTAGGAGAAGGCAAGGGATTCCTGTTCTCCATGTACTGCTGCGACACCTCATCAGTATCTCTCTAGGCTGAAACTTCGAGCTATTTTCCTGAATATACAGAGTAATTACAAACAAAACCAACAGGTTGAACAGCACTTTTAGAACATTAAATAGAAAATGTAAGCTTTTTAATTGTTTGCATTAGAATGAGCCTTAAAGACTATTCAACATCCAAGGGGAGAAAGAGGGTTATTCCAGGGGTTATTTCTGGGTGAGTGGAGCTCAGAGCATGAGAGAAAGTGGGATTTTACCTATATTCTGACTGGTGTTTAAAGGCACTTCTGTGCATTTCATGTGAGACAATGACTGCTGATGATTGCAGGCCCACAATTTTTTCTGCAGGTGAAAAGGAAATACAGTAACAGAACAATAAGCATGACTTTTTTTCTCATAAATATTTCATGTTCATGAAGGTGAGGCTTAGCCTGGTTAAGAAATCAAAAGTTGATTTACTTGAAATTCCAGCAGCACTGAGCAATGGGAGGTGGCAAGAGAGAGGTACATATTCAGGATCTCACCATTCACCACACATAGGCTTACAGGCTCCCTGCCCACCTCTGCTTCCTCCAGAAACACAGGTAAGTGCTTCCAGCTGTTCCAGCTTAACAGCATGAATCATTTTTGAAAATAATAAAATGATGTCTTTAATATCATGCATCTATTCATTCTGTTTGATTGTATTTTAATTATTCTGCTAGGGAAAAATTGAAACACCTTCTTCATCTGATTTATCTGTCTCTAATGTATTTACTTCTAGTGAAGCAAATGCTCCTTTAAGAGCACATTTGGTGGAGGGGAGGGTGTCTGGTACCCACGGAGGCTTGAAGGAAAAGGCATAAAGCTGCCTCATGGGAGCTGGCTGGATGTCATCCACATGGGTCGTGGTCTTGTTGATATAAAACATTTAATACCCAGGCCTAAGACAGCCGGAGATGAAAGAAAGACAAAGAAGTTCCATTAATTTTTCACAAAAGTTTTTCTAAAGAGTAATTTTGATAATCTTCTAATCATGAAATTTATACACGTACATTGAGAAAGACTTGAAAAGTAAAAAGGTGAAGAACTTTAGCTGCCGGAATCCCACAACCCCCATATAAGTCGTTCCTTCTAAGAAAATTTCATTATAGACTAAACTTACCTTCAGTAAACTCATTATCCAATGAACCTGATGCTTCTGCAGGAGTTCCAGATCACACTAAGGCCGCCATGAATTCACTCAGTGAAGCAAACACCCACTTCGCACTTGATCTGTTCCAACAGTTCAAAAAATCAGAGAAGGACAACATCTTCTATTCCCCTCTCAGCATCACATCAGCGTTAGCCATGATGTACTTAGGGGCCCAAGGAAACACTGCGCTCCAAATGGGCAAGGTAGGTGTCAGCTCCCTTTACATTCACCTGTTTAGACTGATTTCTCTGTTGGCTTGTGTGCAGATGCTCACAGATCTGGTTGCCCCCAGAGGTAGCACAGGGGACTGAGCAAGCATTCCCATAACTGGGTGAGCACAGGGCTGTGGGGGGGCATGTGCCCTCCCCCAGTGCCCTGTCCCATCTGCTTCCCTGTGCCTAGGTTTCCTTGGGGAGCTGGGATCAACCCTACAATTGCTCAACAACCAGAGGTGAGGCTTAAACGCCAGAGCACTTGCAGAAGTGATGCACTGACTTAAATCCATGGGAAACATCTTCACATGATTCCTCAGCCATGAATGAATAATCAGGATTCTTTCAAGTGGCTGGTGATTAACCAGCTTAGCTGTAGTTTTCAAGGAACAAAGGCTTACACTGAAGTTTTCTTTATTCTGTTTCCTTTGGTTCTTACTGTTCTTTTTATTTTCAGTTGGTCTGGAAGTTTCTTCTGTTTATTAGCTTGGGTTTATCTCTGGGTTTCTTTGTTTCTTTTTTTAAATTTCCCACTGTGGACAGATCTTTTGAGTAAAGTTTTCTTGTCCCGCTTCCCTTCTCTTCCAGGTCCTTCACTTTAATGAAGTCGCAGACAACGCAAGAGAAAGACCTACAACAGCTCATGTGAGTCACAGAGCATTTGGCTCTAGAAGGAGAAACATATATCCAAGAGGGTCAAGGTTTAAACTGGAGATCTCAGTGAAAAGTCCATTTTTAGGGGAAATTTTGAGCAAAATACACGAGATAAGCAGTGTTGTTTCTCATCTCATATTACATACTTATTTATTTCATTTTTTTTTAATTCTTGAGAGGAGATCAGCATTTGCATAAAAGCATTGGTTCTGACACTGGAAGACTAGCTTCAAATTCCTGCCCTGCTATTCACGAACAGGAGAGGTGGGCAGGCACATTTGCTCTGCAAAACACTGACCTCTTGCCAGTAAACTGGCAGTAGTGAAAGACCTGCCTCAGTACATGCAAACATTACAACAGCGCCTGGGTTATGGGAAACCCTAATAAATGCTATATGTCATTATTATCGAATAACAATAATCATAGTAATCAAAATAATGTTGCTAAGACAATATAATTTTAATTAGCTCATAGATGGGATTAACAGAAATAAGCATACATCTAAGTATATTTTGGAAAATAATGAATGAAGTCTACAGTTTATAGCCTTAATATTCTAAAGGGTTAGCTAGCAAGTGGAAGGTTCTGGATTCAGACAGGCATATGTTCAACTATTGGCTCTACTACCTTGTCTCTCTTAGGAGAGGTTATTTAATTCTCTGGGCTTTCCGGTTTTCATCTGAATTGGACTAAAGGTTTAAAGTTACTGATGTAAAGCCATAGGAGTGTACCAGGCACATACAGTTCCTAACTTGGAGTATGACCATCATGAGGAAGAGACATAGATCACAGTCAACAGGTTTCACAAGATAATACCACCTAGGAGTGTACATGGCTTCATATCTTCTCATATCATAGCACCATTGAAATACACAAATTCAACATTCTCATAACACTGATGGCTGTCAAAATGAAAATGGTTCTAGCCCTTAAGGAGCTTAAGTTTAGCTGGCAAGATTAACCTAACCATTTTTACCAATTGGAAGACAATGCAATGATGGAATGGTGTTGCATCTGTAGTTCAAAAGAAAAAAGACAGGATTATTTAGAACAGAAGCAAATAATTTCCTGGAAGAGGCTGAATAGAAAACTTTGGGAAAATATTTGAGATAAAATACACCAATATCAGGAAATAATGACAAATGTCATCTGCAGGGTTACCAAACTTTAGGTATGGATCTAACAGATTTACATGTATTTAGTACTTACATTGACAGAGAATGTAGTGAGCTCACTTTTTGATGTTTGAAGGCTGAAAAGTTGGGAAATGTGCATCACCAATTTCAAAAGCTTCTGACGGGATTAAAGAAATCAACTGATGCCTATGAGCTGAGCATCGCCAACAGGCTCTATGGAGAAAAGAAGTTTCAGTTTCGTCAGGTAAGCTTCACTGGCCTGCCACACCTTTAATCTGCATCCTAGGTCCTCTGTCTTCCAATCACCAAATGGAGGAGAGTGAGCAGATGAGCCTGGTTGACCCCTATGAGGAGAATTTACCCAGGGTGCAAGACTCTGTTGCCACAACTACACCCAATGGAGTATACTAGAGCCTGACCATCGACCAAGAAAGTGTGGGTTTAGGGATGACTTTATGACCAAAGGGCAGGCTCAATAGCACAATGAGTCATGAGATACCCCTAATGGTCTCACACTGTTCAGTCACATAGTACGAATTTTGGTGGGCAATGGCCCAGGAAATGTATGGTGAATGGGATACTGATGAGATGGGCAGGCTTGATGTGTCTTGGGGAAATACCAAGGAATACTGAATGCCCAGGATGGAAGATAGAAGCAAAGGTCAGAACCTTAAGAGTTGATATTACTGGAGAGGAGTCCCAGAAGCACACCATCTCCTTTGGAGAAACAAGCTTTGCAGTTTGCAACCCACAGCCTCTTCTGCTCCTGCCTTTGTCAGATGGTACTGTGCTTCAGAGACCTCATTCTTGTGCCAGCCTGTACTTCCCTTTCACATTACCCAAAATGGTGTTGTACAAAAATACACGTGGAGAAGAAAATGTAGATGTCTCTAGAGTCTTGATTCCTGTGCTATATTTTGTTAACATTGAAAATAAGCAACTTGAGAATACATAGTTAATAATAAATTGCTCAATTTCTCCTTTCTTCCTTCCCATCTCAAAGGAATACATGGAAAATGTTAAGAAATTTTACCTTGCCAGTGTGGAATCTGCTGATTTTAAAAATGCTGCAGAAGAAAATCGCAAGAAGATTAATTCCTGGGTGGAAAGCCAAACAAATGGTAGAGTATGAGTGATCACCCATAAAGAAACACATTGAGTCCCTGCTCTGAATGAACCCTGCGCTTGACACTGCATGGGGTTCTGGGAGAGGGAGAAGAGATGAGGTTGCAGAGAGGGTGGGGGGGCACTACAGATGGTGGAATGTTTCAAGTCAATGTGGAGAGAAACAATGGGAACCCAGGAGGGATCACAGGACCAACTACCTAGAAAAACAGCTGGAGATTTATGTTTGCTCGTGGCCACGGATGACAAAATCTTTGTGGACTCCAAATTCTGCTCAGACCCCATCTTGGGTTCTCATTCTTTACTTTAAATCAGAAGCTTAACTTCTGTATATGGTTTCCTAGAGAAACATTAGATATGGTTCTCGTCTCCTTTCTTAACTTGGAAACAAGCAGCACTCCTGTAAACTGGGCTCCTCGTCACCTGCCGCTGGAGCTGCCTGCCCACTTCTCCATCCCCACATCCTGCAGGGACTATCCCAGCTGTCTTCCCCATCCAGGGCAGAGAGTTTGACAAACTCTCCATCCTGTGAACCCCTATCCTGCCTACCACTCTCATTGAGGCCAAACGTACAGCAATTCAAAGTGGAGAATGAAGACGAAGATATGCTAGTGAATGGTTTCTGATGGCACAGGGCAAATGCTTCAGATAATAGAGCCCGTGCCACTTGTCCTAAAGAATAACCAAGGCCTACTTCCTCTGACAAGTGAGCTCAAAGTTTAAAAAAACAGAAAAGAAGTAAGGGAGGGAGGAGTGATGACTGGAGGTATGGAAGAACTGAGGGAGAGAGTGTGAAGGGAATGGATTTGTTGAAAGAGTAGCTGAAATCCATTTATCAATATTTGGTGTGAGAGGACTGAAGTTCCCCACAGACAGAGACTCTGAACACCTTTCCAGTGAAAAGAAGAGTCATCCCCATCAGGGGTAACTCCATCAGGCTGGTGCCATGAGGAAAGTGCTACCTCGTGAACTATTAGTCAAGTAGTCCCTAAAGTGGTGACTTGTGTGAATAATTAATGATCAGTTGTAACTTTGAAAGCATCTTTTAGACAAACCACTTGAACTTCTATGATGGACTTTTGTTTTTCTTTTTATTGCAGGAAAAATCAAGGATGTGTTTCCCCCTCACTCTCTTGAGTCCGCCATTCTGGTTCTGGTGAATGCAGTCTATTTCAAAGGGCAGTGGGACGAGAAATTCGACAAAAGAAGAACTGTGGAGGAAAAATTTTGGCTGAACAAGGTATTGTCTAAAATTTTTTTATGATGACAATGTAGTTAGTTACTTATGGAATGTTAAATGTAAACTCATATCTGATAGAATGTACAACTGCAGGTTGTAATAAAATTTACATGGCTGTATTTTCTTCTTTCATTTTTTTGACTTTATTTGGTTGCTAATACTTGAAGAAACTCTTCCTCTAATTCACAAATTTCCCAGATCATCTCTTAGAAAAAGGATGTGTTTGGTATCTTAACAGTATTATCTTTGTTTGAATTATGCCTCACTTGGCATTTCTTTGCCACATTAATTACTGCAGGATACCAGCAAATCCGTGCAGATGATGAAACAAAAGAGTTTCTTTAATTTCACTGACCTGGAGGACATGCAAGCCAAGATCCTGGAAATACCATACAAAGGCAAAGATCTAAGCATGATGTTGCTGCTGCCAAATGAAGTGGATGGTCTGCAGAAGGTAATAGCTTCTACCTCCAATTCTTCATACTATTGCCCGATTTCCTAGTAGCACTCTGCTTGTATGGGCTGTTCATTGGAAGTGGTGCTCACAGAGTGTTGGTGATGTCTGGCGGCGCTCAGGAATACAGTACTTTTCTTCTCTGCATGCAGTCTAAAGGAGAATTGTTAAGGAGAACCTGGCATCATACTACATTCCATAAAATAATTATCTCAAGTATCACAGTGTGATATGGAAGAATATAGAGAAAATCTTAACATCAGATGTCTCATTACTATTCTGATGAAAATATGAAATGTCAGCTCAGAAAAAAATATACCTAGGCACACACCTATAATATTTTGCAGCCATAAGATCCTCTGATATAGTCCAGGGTATTCATTTGAAGACAAGGAAACTAAGACTCAGATGAACATGACACATGGAAAATATATGCAAGTTCACTCATAAACAAAACCAAGAAAATTGAAACAATAGGCACCATTTTGCATGCTAAATCACAGTGGTTTGGGGACAGTGGGCAAATAGATTTACCTCGATGCATACTTTTCAATTTAGAAGTACTCTGTCCCTAGGAGCTCAAAAGTCATTCAGTGCCCCATTCCTCTAAGTAAAAAAAAAAAAAGGAAATTTTACTCTTAGCACTGCTATAATGGTTGAAGTTAATGTGAAAAATATCAATAACAATATCTGAAATAGTAAGGATATTCCAATAATGGCCCTCAGCAATTACTATAATCGTTGATGATGATGCTGAAGTTGTGGTGAACTTGCCACACCCAAAATATATATTGTGGCAACCCTGGAAATTGGAGATCCTCAGGGAAAGTAACATGGCAATGTATGTGAGGGACCATTACAATATTCATCCTCTAGTTCAGCAATCATTATCAATGACATCTCAGTCCTGGGATTTGATCCTAAGCTAACTAATACAAAGAAGGCAACAGCTTTTGGACAGAAATGGCTCAAAATAATGAATGCTTTAAAAATATCAAGTAAAGATATATATATTGAATATCAATTTAATGGTAATTTTATGTAACAAATTAAACTTGATTAGAGAAATATATAACTATATGGCAAAAATTTATAAATAGGCCAAGCAAGAAAAAGGAATAAAAATATGTTGTATGCTATAAATGCAGCATGTAAAAAATTATGTACAAAAGGGCATTAATGAGAGAAGACTATTAAAAAATGAAACATGGAGTGGGCTGGCAGCTTAAGAAATAGAGACATATAGTTCATCTCTTACAAAATAATTTTATTTAAAGGTTCTTTTGTTTTATATATGTTTTATATATATAATATACAGTACAGAAGAATCCATTTGTTTATAGGTATTATACAGAAGATTCAGTTTATTATATATATGAAAAATTTCTGTACTTACATTTACTGTTAAAATAAATGTTTCCATGATTCACTCCAATGTTAAGGTATGTTCAATGTCCACTGAGAATCACTTCATTGTTCCTTTTGTCCATTGTTACAGCTTGAAGGTAAACTCACTGCTGAGAAACTAATAGAGTGGACAAGCTCACAGAATATGAGGGAGAAAGAAGTAGATTTATATTTACCTCGGTTCAAAGTGGAAGAGAGCTATAACCTCGAGGAAGTGCTGATGTCCATGGGGATGGTGGATGCCTTCAGTACACGGGAAGCCAACTTCCTGGGCATAGCAGAGAGCAAAGGTCTCGTGTTGACAAAAGTTGTACACAAGTCCTTTGTGGAGGTGAATGAGGAGGGCACGGAGGCTGCAGCTGCTACAGGCGGAGTAGTTGGTATAACATCACTACCAATTTATGAAAGTTTCCACTGTGATCACCCTTTCCTGTTCTTCATCAAGCACAATAAGACCAACAGCATCCTCTTCTTGGGCAGAATCTCTTCCCCTTAGATGCAATTAACCTGCTACTAACTTAGGGAGAAGTTCACACTTCTTCCAAAACATTGATTGCAGAAATACTAGTTCTCTTTAACTCTTTTTCCTTTCCAATCTTATAGTTATCACCAAGAATGTAATGATTGAAAGCATACTGTCTATCTCTCTCTTTCTACAAACACGTGTAAACTGACTTCATTTCCCCATGATGATTCCCTTTGCACAAAATGTTCAAGATAAGCTGAAAGAATATTTCAATACTTTATCTTCTCCTAATTTTTAAATATAATATCTGCTATTTCAAAACTCTTATCTGATAATGAAACTTACTAAGATAGCACCCACATTTGCTAGAATTTAGGTAATATTTAGGGACATATATGTCTAAATTTTTTGATTTTATGAAACGCATTATCATAAAAGTGACTTATTCATATTATTTGTTGCTTTTTCCTTTTATTTTTCTTTTTAACAAAGTGAAAGTGGCCCACCATACATAGGAAATAAAATTCAGAAATATATTATCACATAAATAAGAAAATTCAACATACAAGAGGGCATGATGAGGCTGAAGCATAGGCTCATGCCAGAACGTGAAAGACTTTGTATCCCACTTTAATAACTTTCTATTTTATCCTAAAATAAATGGAAAGCCATTACAGCTTTGTTCACTTGTTGTCCAAAGGAGAGAATGAGATCATTTTATCTACGTCTTTAAGATATATCCCTAGTTATTAAGATGTAAATGGATGTGAGGGAATAACAGCATGGATACAGTGAGATTAATGAGTAAACTTAGAATGTCAGGAGTGGAGACTGAGAGAAACAGTTATCTGTGAGAATTATTTAGGAAGTAAAAATCCATAGAATTCTGGCAACATATTATTTATGGCAGAAATGGGAGACAGAAGCCAAGAATGATGCCCATAGTTTCTGGTCTAACCAAACAGTAGGACAGAAGAAGATTTTGTTTCGGGGAGAAGATAAGAACCCAGGTTTAAGTTTGCATTTGTTGAATTCTGATTTCTTTTCAGATATCCAAATGGAGTTGTCTAGTAAGCACTTGAACATGAGTCTGGAGCTCGGATGCAGGATATAATCTGAAGCTCTAAACTTGTGATGCGCAACAGGAAACTTACAGAGTTAATGAATAAAAGTAGTAGCTTTAAAAATTGGAGAAAAAAGGAAAGGTGGCTAAAGGCAAGAATGGAGTCCTAGGCAGAGAGTATAAAGTGATAAGAGCACCCAGTGAAGTGACCTTGAAGTATGTCAATATATGAAGGTCAAGAGTGGACAATTTTTATTTTCTGGAACACAGCTTTTCTTAGGGGGCTGTATTCATTTAAAATCCTTCCCAATAAGTCCTGAATCTCAGCTAATAACATAAACCTTGAATTTTGGAGGATTTGAGAAAGCTCTAAATTTTCTTCAGCAGAATCCAGCAGCCCAAGAACAGAGCAGAGGAAGGAGATGTTTCACCATTAAGTGTGAGATTTGGTCAAGGGAACTGACAGACTGGCAAGAGTGTGGGTAACATGAGTAAACCATGCAGTGAACAGGCTGGGAAGGGAAGGCAAGGCAGGAGGCAGTTGCCTGATGAACTGAGAGGCAGTGGGGTAGTTAACGAGGTTGAAGAACAGAAATGATGGGAATGAGTTTGTGAGAACGATTGGAGGTTCAGAAGTTTGGCCCAGGACCTGGGGTTTTGAAGTGTAGTTTAAAATAGAAAATTGTAGGTGATAAATAAGCTCAGAGTGTCACTATGGGTGTGAATTAAATTCTAATGATTCAATGAAGTTAAGACTGGTATAGAGTTTTTGGGGTTTGAAGAACTTATTGTTAGAATGTCTTTAGACTATAACTTTCAACTACTTGTTATTTTAGTTGGGTTTTCAAAAGAAACTTTATAAAAGCAAACGAGTTAAGAAAAAGGCTCACAGGCATTTGACTCATATCAGGTAGAGGAGATGGTTGACATCCAGCTATGAGACCTGAAAGCTTTCCCAATATTCTAGGCCAGTCAGAGAACCAACTACTCCTGCAGTGGGGCCACGTGTAACAGAAACTGAAGAGAAATTCAAATTTTGTTTCTTGATTTTTAAAGGTATAAGTTATAATTCACTGAATAAAACATAATATGAGAACTTACTGATATAAAATGTCTAAATTTAAAGTTTTAAAAGGAATGGATATTTATATGCTTTCAAAGTTTCTCCCCACAGAATACCTCTTCACACTTGTTAGAGTGGCCAAAATTAAAATTAAAAAGACTGGCCATATCAAGTGCTGGAGAGAATGTGGAGCACCAAGAACTCTCATACACTACTGGTGAGACTATGAAGGATGCAACCACTGGGGAAATCAGTTGGAAAATTTCTTATAAAACTAAACCTTTAGTTACCATATGATCCAGCAATTCCGTTCCTTCATATTTACCCATGAGAATTGAAAATGTGTGTCTCCAGAAGGACTTATGTACAAAAATTCATAGTAACTTTATTCACAATGGCCAACACTGGAAATATTTCAAATTTGCTTGAGCAGGTGAATGGATAGAGAAACAGTGGAATAGGACTGAGCAATGAAAAGGAAGAAACTACTGAATCCTGCAGCAACATGGAGGAACCTCTCAAACACTATTCTGTGCAAAAGAAACTGAACAGAAGGAGTACGGATTATGTAGTTCCGCATATACGAGGTTCAACCCGTGAGGACAGAAAGCTGCTTAGTGCTCTCCTGGGGCAGGAGGTGCAGAGGAAATTGATTCTAACAGAGCCTGAGGGAAATTTCTGGTTGAGATGAATGCTCTCCAACTTGGTCGGGTGGTGGTTACACAGGTGTTTACATTTGTCAGAAGTCATTGACCTGTACGCTTACAGTGTGTGAATTTTGTTTTATGTAAATTATGCAACAGTAAAGAGGACAGAGTAGGAGGAAGGGGAAGAAGAGAAAGAAAACTGGACAAATCACACATAGTTACTTTGCCTCTGGAAACATTTGAGCGAAAAAAGCTTCTTAATTAAATATGTTTTTAAGAACAACCTCACTATTACCAACTTCTGACCAACCTTCAATTTCTTCATAAACATTTAAACACATTAAATAATATGCAAACATCCCTGTCATATGGAGCAAGAAGCATCATGAAACTGCACATTAAAAAAGAAAGTTTTGTGATGTGATCTACCAAGTTGTCTTTACTGATCCACAGGTTAAAAATGACTATATTTAGGGGCCGGCCCAGTGGCGCAGCGGTTAAGTTCGCACGTTCCGCTTCTCGGCTGCCTGGGGTTAGCCAGTTCAGATCCCGGGTGCGGACATGGCACCTCTTGGCACGCCACGCTGTGGTAGACGTCCCACGTATAAAGTAGAGGGAGATGGGCACGATGTTAGCTCAGGGCCAGGCTTCCTCAGCAAAAAAGAGGAGGACTGGCAGTAGTTAGCTCAGGGCTAATCTTCCTCAAAAAAAAAAAAAAATGACTATATTTAAAATTAGTTTGAGATTTGAAAGAGTTTAACAAGAAAATTCATGTCCAGATATTTTTTCCATTAAATGTCATTGTATAAAATATGGTATTGAAATCTATGTTTATCTCAGTTTTTTGATACAATTTTCAATAGTCAAAGATGAAAGCCAAGCCACTTACATCATACAAGCGGAAGGATAGACACCTTCTTTCCCTTTGAAATGACATTTTCCTCTTCTGGGGAAAACTCTCAGGGTATACTCTCTTGGCTCCATCTGGCTCTGTCAGAATCATTTCTATTGTATACCTACAGCACACACAGGTGGTAAGCAACTATGTGAAGAATAAATGATTGTGTCATTCCCTGTAGTCACACAGGGGCTGTCATTTATTTTATAAGAACTTATCGGGGCCGATCCTGTGGCTGAGGGGTTAAGTTCGTGTGCTCGCTGCGGTGGCCCAGGGTTTCGCCGGTTCGGATCCTGGGCACGGACATGGCACCACTCATCAGGCCACGTTGAGGCTGCGTCCCACATGCCACAACTAGAAGGATCTGCAACTGAGATATACAACTATGTGCTGGGGGGATTTGGGGAGATCAAGCAGGGAAAAAAAGAACTCATTTGTATTTCTACTACAAAAGACATTGCAAACATCCAAAAATGCTTATCGGCTTCACCGTATGTAGTCTGGTGTAGGCCATGCAAAGAACATTTATTCTGCACCTACTATGTGCAATGCTGGATTAGGCCGTGGGTTCTCAGATAAAGGGTGACAAAAATGGATAAATAAACCAATCATCCTGAAGACCAGAAGAGGGGAACCAAATTCAGAACACAAGCAGGCCGGAACTTGGAAAAATGCCTTAAAGTTGATGGTCAAAGCAGACTTCAACGTCTAGAACAAGAGTAGCAGTATAGATGCAATATATACAAGGAAGTACCTGAGATCAGTCAGAAAACAGCTGAGTTAGTGGGCAGTCAGAAAACTAGAAATCCACAAAACTTAAGGATCCCATAGAAGAGGCAAACTCAGAAATGCAGGCAGACATTTGGCAATAAACATAAGAGACCAGAACTCACTGAGGGTTCTGCCCTCCCAAGTGGCTCTGTGTGTGCGTGTGTGTGTGTGTGTGTGTGTGAATGTGATTCTCCAGAGGATATGGCTATCCCAGGGCATAGGGCTATCCCAGGGATAGGCCCTTGCCTTCTAGAATCTTAATGTCTAAGACTATATTGTCTCTGTTCCTGATAATTATCTGCTCAATGGCTGGAAACCAGAAACAATCAAATTCCAAAAGATCGCCTAAGATAATTTATCTTTCATTTGAGACTAAGTATGCAATTGCTTTCTCCCTAAGAAGAACTTTTTTACCTACATTTCTTGTCTAACAATAGTTTTAAGAAAAACAAAAGCAGGCATTTTTTTAATACACTCTGAGTTAGACATTGATCAGACGAAAGTGAAGTTCACCTTTAGATAAACTGCACATGACAAATGGAGCAATGTCTACATTTTCACCACCTGGCAGTGATGTTTATGCCAATTCCAGGGGTGACACATCAATGACCTCAAAGGCAATGCTGAAGCGGCTACTGCACAGGATCTTGGCATCCCTCTACTTCCACAACTGGTGATCTCTGCAACCCAATGCGCATAAGCCATGCATGACGACATCCCTGATTCCTTATTCTCCTGGGGAAATCCTGGATTGCACAAATGGTGGTGCTAGGGAGGTCAACCTCTCCATCCCAAGCCCCCATATTCCAAATACACATCTGTACAAATACAGAGAGCTCGATAAGAGCTCAGAGGTCCTGGGACCTTCTGATAACCCCC